ATTAGTTGAATGGTCATAAAGAAAATTTCTTCAGACCATAGGCATAAGTTAAGGGAGAGGACTCAGTGCAAAAACCTGGATTTGCTTGAGCATGATCCTATATATATCACTTCCATTGTGCAATATAGGACGTGGGTGCATCTGTCTTACCATATGTGGTAAAGGATATTACTACCCCCGGCTCATGATGAGCAGCTCAGTTTCAGTCATGTCACCATGCATGGCCCAGTTCTTAGTCTCAAAAACAGTGTTTCAATATACCAGGGATTGTTTCCCAAAAACACAGTTGTTTTCTGTTGCAAAGATGATGGTCTTGCTCAACAATCTTAGTACCCACACTACACTTCTCTTATTGGGCTTACCAGAGGCTTAACACGGAATCTTCTAGCTCTTCAGATAGCTTTAGTATGATGGGGTCTGCCAGGTCAGAAAGAGGAAATACCCTTTGTCAGATGTTTCTGTTAGTTCAGGTAGAAAAGACCTTTGGCTTTGATAATGTGAAAATTCCGATGAGGCAGTTTCATTGGAGTTTCAGAGATGAAAATCTAATTGAAATGGGTTTAAAAGAGAAAGAGGAGAGAATGAAAAAAAGGAGATGAGTCTTTTAAGGAATTTGCTGCAAAGTGACACACAGAAATAAGGCAGTAACTAGTGGTGGATGTGGGTGTCGAGAGGGTTCTTTTTTTTTGTATCAGATTGTCAGACATTATGCAGATGGAATGATGCAGAAGGAAAGGAAAATTAACAGAACAAAGTAGGAACAAAGTTCTAGATGAGGGAGAATAAGAATCTGGGGCACACACACAAGTGTTGGCCTTCAGTCAGAGCACAGACAGCTCCGCTATAGTGGAGAGCAGGAGGGCAGGCAGAGTGTGTGGGTACAGAAGCAGGTCGCTGAGTAGATTTGCTGGTGGGAGGATGAAGAAAGTCTTTTCTGATCACTTCTATTTTCTCAGTGAAATAAGAAGGGCTCCAGCAGACATTGAGAAATGGGCAGTGGAAAATGAGAGGTTTGATGAGAAAGAAGTCGTGTGCCTCTCGGGGGTTGGAGTCAATGGGATGGAGGAATGCAGTGGGACGGTCCAGTGATGCTAAGGGTCCACTTGAGGTTTGTGGCTATAAAATTTAAAAGAGTGGTTGTTAACACTACCTGATCTCATGCTCCCTCTTTATAAAAAATATATTGTAATGACTTCTTTATTATCCTAAAATAAAATTCATAGTTAAGATAACCTACCCACTGATGTAATTTTATAGAAACAGTTGACCAGTAATAATTATGGAAATAAAAGAAACATAACTTTAAAGTACAAGTAGTATGTATTGTAATACAAATTCTCAGCACAGCTATTCTGGACAATATTACATTTGCAGATAATTGCTTCTATACATAGAATCAATGGGATGCGTTGAACTATAAATACCAAAGGTTACAAGTGTGTTGTCTTGGTGACTCAAATACCACAAATGGTAATGCTATCAATGATGTGATTTTTCCAAAAGAGTGAATGACAAAAAAAAAAATCAGAGCTTCCCTCTTTGAGATATTGGAGGGAGCTGAATTCCTATAAAATTCAGTGTATATGAAAAAATACTTTGGGCCAGGCATGATAGCTCATGCCTATAATCTTTGCACTTTGGGAGGCCAAAGTGGAAGAATTGCTTGAGGCCAAGAGTTTGAGACCAACATGGGTAACATAGATGGACCCTATCTCAATAAAAAGAAAATTATGTTATTTTGTAAAATATAGTTTGGTTTTAGATTCCAATTTTCCTGAACATGAATGCTCAGAGCGAAATTTGAAAGTCTGTGGGGTGCAGGACAAACTTTCCCATAATTTGAAAGATAGTTAGTATTCTTGGTCCCCTGCCAGTTAGATGACAGTAGTGTCATCCAATCATTGTGACAAGCAGAAAAGTCCTCAAATTCTTAAACACTCCCTAACAAATCCACATTGCTCTCCCAACCACACTGTGATCTGATCATTTGTAGCGATTTTATTCATGGTTGTTTGCGCTTTTCTCCAATCACTGATCAACTCTACAAGTATAGGCTTTGAGTGGGGAAAGAAGTGAACTTAACCAAAGTTGGCTCACATTTTTTTCAAGTGAATACAGAGAAGGAGAAGGGGCAGTGGGTTGAGGAAAAGCACAAGACAGTGGCTATGATGCTGGAGCATGAATCTTGGCTGAGTACAAAGGGAAGAGCCTACCTGGAAGGGAGGTTACAGAATATGAAGAGGTGATCATTGCAGTGGCTTAGATCATCTGGAAGAGTTGAGGAATTTTTGGAGTAGAGATACTTAAATACATGACCTAGAGAAAAGGGAGGTGGGAAAGGGTGGTGGTGTTGAAAGTAGGATTGAAAGTGGTGCAGTTATTTGTATTGACCAGTTTGAGGTTTTGTTCGCGGGAACGGTAGGCTGATAGGAAAAGGGGTTAAAGTCATGGAAGGCCCTGAGAAGCCAGGGCAGATTGTCTACTTGGATAATGATAAGAAGTTGGATAATTACAGAAGCAGAGGTAGAGAGAACAAAAGTAAGCCAGGATAGTAAACTCTTCAATAAATGAGAAGAGACGATACAGGAGAACTGATATTAAGGAAACAGGGAAGTGAAGCAGGTGTGATGGTCTATTGGTATGTGCTTCAAAGCGACTGGGGATCATTGGAAGTGGTTGGAGTAACAATAAACTAGACATTCCTACGAGAAACAAGAAAGCAAGCTTTTATATCTCCAAGTCCAAAAGAGTTTGACATGTGAATGAGAAAACTACAAGAAAGGTATTCAAAAGAAGCAAGTTCTTGGAGGTAGATCATGTATTCCAAAAAATAAAATAAAATTAGTAAGACTTAAATATATGTGTTCCTCTCACTTCCATCTGCAGTTGTAGGTGCTTACCACCTTCTGAAGTGATTTGCTAATATTCCAATAATTCAAATATGTTGTCTGAATTAATGAACCTTCCATTTCTCTTTAAACTTGGGTTACTGGGTATTTGTTGTATGTAGCTAACACTATCAAACAAGACATATAAAAAGCATTGCTCAGATAATGAACGTGTGGTTTCACATAACAAAGAAGAGAAATATAAGGTCAAGTACTATGGGTAGGTCTGATGGGCTGAGGGATCTCAGAAAATCTACAGGCTCAGATGACCATCATGTGTGCTAGAAAATTATGGGTGGTGCACTGATCTTGCATTCTCATTCATTAATCAGTGGTGTATTATATTAGCAAATGTCCATCATTTCATTTCTAGGACCAGTATTTCTCAGCTATTATAATTATACTCTTGCCACAGTGTTACATTTTATTGGCTAATATTGATTTAGGAATTTTACATTTTTAATTATAAATATAATTGCTGTATCACTTCTTAAATTACCATGGACTGACTTTATTATGTAGCTTATTTCCCCTTCATGAGATGAATTAACTAGTTTTCTGTTCCTTTATAGTTTAAAGTATTTTATATCACATGAAAAGATCTGTCCTATGTCCTACAAAGATATATGAGCAGGAGCATGTTTTTATTATTTTCTATTTCAAATCTGTGAGATTTTTTCCAGAAATTCATTTATTCATTGGAATTGCTGTATTTATTGATATATACATGCATAATATACTCTTACTTTTCATCTTGTTAGTGTTAAATATGTAGCTCAATTTCTTGTTTGGTTTGTCTTACATTCTTATTTATCTAGATTTATTTGCAAGAGATTTGCTATTATATTTTTTATTTCAAAGACATATTTTGGTTGTCGTTTCTACCTTTTGCCTGCTATTAATAGTGCTGCTGAGAACTTTCATGCACAAGTGTTGTTTGAATGCATACTTTCAATTCTTTTGAGTTTATACACCTAAGTATGGGATTGCTGGGTCATGTGGTATTCTAATATTTGACTTTCTGAGGTACTGCCAAACTGATAAATACTTCTTTAAACCATTCGACTGAGGTTCTACTTTCCTAGTTATTGATTTCTATTTGAATCTTTATTATAATTTCCCTTACAACAATTTTATATTTAAAAAATAATAATTTGAGTTGAATGCTTTATTAATTTCCCTTCTCTACTCAGGTTTAATAAATTAGCACTTAATATTCTAAATTTATCTTTGGATATAATTCTAGATGTATCCTGTAAGGTTTCAAGTATTTTATTTCATTGCTTACCAAATATCTATTGATCACATTAGGTTTTTTTCCCCCTATCTGATATGATAGAGTTTTAGGGGAGAGAATATGTTTACTTATAATTACTATAAAATTAATATAATACTTATAGCACTTTAATAAGTATTGTAATATAATAATTATATTAATATAATTACTACATAATATAATTTGTGGTCAAAATTGTAAAACTGCATTTATATCTAATTTTATTTTCTCATTTGTCACAATATGTGGCTTATTCAATTTTTATTTTAAAACTATATTAAAGTTTACTTTGTGCATATGTGGCAAATATTACAAATATTCCATGAATTGTTGAGAAAGGTATATTCTCCATTAACATGCTACGATGTATATAAATACCTACATTTATTAGTTGTAGCAGTTCAGATATTATATGTTTTTATTTATTGCTTTAAAAAATTTACCTGGTACTTTATGATTTGTTGGTCTTGTAATAATGTGTCCCACAATAATTGTATGTCAGTTAACTTCTCTTTGTCTAAAGTTTTGCTTGATTTTTATGTTAACCTTGTTATTTATGTCATTGTTATTATAAAAAGACTGTTATTCTGCTTTACCTTTTGCCTCAAATACAGTGGTCTATTTTGCCTTAATGCTTTCCTGATTTTAAAATTTATTATTTTTTAAGTAAGTTACTCTCATTCAGTCTCTTTAAACAGCAAATTGTCAGATTCAGGTTTTTAATTCAAACTGAGTTTTTGCGTAGTACCTAGTAAGTACTCAGTGAATAAAATGAATATTTTAAAGTGATATTTACCCTTGTCTAATTTCTTTTTGTTTTTTGTCATTTGTTTTAGGTGGGCCATAAAACACGAAGGGACCAGTAAGCCAGGCCAGTGGAAACATTCTAGAGTTGAAAATCCTCTGTGGAACAAGCTTACTTACATGTGGCCTGTCCTTCCCAGCGGCCAACTCAATGAGGTTGTGTTACTTAGTTTGAGAGATGGCCATTGAGACTTACTTTAAGGCCTAGTTGTGTGGTCAAGTTCCTGACAACTTCCATAAAGCTTCTGAATTGCAGATGTTAGGTGCAAGGGATCAAACTTGCTAATTCTGTTGTTCTATCAATTAATTAGAAAGATATGTTTAAGTCTCCCATTATGGAGATTAACTTACCTATTTTGTCTTGTAATCTGTCAAATATTCCTACATATATTTTGAGATTTAATTCTTAGGCATGCACATGTTCAAAATATATCTTCCTGGTGAATTGAAACTTCTATTATTATGTAGAAACTGTCTCTAGTTCTACTAAAAGTCCAATTTATCCAATACTAATAGAAATATTACAAATTTCTTTTCATTATTATTTTCCTAGTATACTTCTTTGCACCCTTTCCTTTCTGTGTTTATATATTCTTCTGTTTTAGAGGGACTCCCCATAATCAGCATATAGTTCATTTAAAAAATTTATCTGGCAGTTTTTGTCTCTAGCCTGAAGTATTTGGTCTTTTCTAAGTGTTGTAATTACAGGTGTGCATGTGTATTTACAGGTGTGCATTATATTTGGATTATTATGTGCTTTCTATTTGTCCTGGCTTTTCTGTCTCTCCGCCCTCCATTCTTGTGTTCTTTTAGAATGATTTTTTTTCCTCATTACATTTTCCACATCAACTAGCTTGGAAATTATACCCTCTATTTTCATTCTGTTTATTTCTGAACACTTTGCCTTACATACATAAATGATGAAAATCTAAAGTTAACAAATATATTAATTTGTTGCATTCTTCTCTCAAATAATACAATCATATGATTTGTGACTTGTATGCCATTATTGTAATATAATATAAGTTTATCTTATAAAAATTTTCTATTAGATCACATTGTGTGTAGTCAACATATATTTAAGAGTACCCCTGATTTTTCATCTTTCTGGTTATAATTCCTTCTTATGTTCCAGTCCTTCCACCTCGGCCACTTTCTTTAAGATGAATACAACCTTCTTTTAGTTTTTGGTAGCAAGCTCTTCCCATTTTTACTTATCTGAAAAAAATCTTTATTTTGGCCTCATTCATATAAGGTATTTTCACTTAGCAAGCTAAATATATCATCACTGACTTCTACTTTCCATTGTTATTATGGAGCGTTTAGCCATCATTCTAAATGCATCCTGTGTAGGTATCTATCTTTTTTTCTGGTTGGTTTTACTATCTTTTCTTTTCTCTGGTATTCTACAGTTTCAGCACAATATATCTGGGAGAAGATTTCTTTTTATTTACCCTCCTTCAGAGTCTAAGATTCTTTGGGATTCTTGAATCTGTGGATTGGAATCTTGCAGAATACTGAAAAATTATTAGCCATCAACTTTTCAAATATTTTCTCTCTTATATTCTTCTACTCCTTTATTTTTTATTTAAAATTTTATTTATAATTATTATGGATACATAGTAGTTATACATGATTTATGAGATACATGTGATGTTTGACAGGCATATCATATAGTATGTAATGATAAAATCATGGTAATTAGAAACATCAAGCATTGATCATTTCTTTGTATTAGGAACATTCCATTTCTACTGTTCAGGTTATTTAAAATTATACAGTAAGTTGTTGTTTAGTCACCCTATCATGCTACTGATGACTAGATCTTATTCATTCTATCTAAACTGTAGTTTTGTACCTATTAAACAACTTCCCCTTATTCCCTCCTCCCCACTATGCTTTCCAGCCTCTGGCAACCATCATTCTAGTCTCTATTTCCATGAGTTAAATTTTATTTATTATTTTTGCTCCTACATATGAGTGAAAACATGCAATATTTGTCTTTTTGTGCTTGGCTTATTTTACTTAACAAAATGTCCTCTGGTTCCATTTGTGTTGTTAAAAATGACAGGACCGAATTTTTTTTTTTTAATGGATGAACAATACTTCATTGTGTATACATACCACGTTTTCTTATCCATTCATCTGTTGATGAATACTTAGGTTGATTCCATATTTTTGCTATTATGAATAGTGCTGAATAATGCTGTAATAAACAAGGGAAGTCAGACTTTTTTTTGACATGTTGATTTCCTTTCTTTTGGGTATATATCCAGTAGTGGAATTACTGGATCATATGGTGGTTCTGTTTTTAGTTTTTTGAGGAACTTCCATACTGTTTTCCGCAATGGCTATACTAATTTACATTTCCACCAACAGTGTAGGGCGGGTGGGAAAAAGGGTTTCTCTTTCTTCTTATTCTCACCAGCATTCATTATTGCCTGTCTTCTGAATAAAAGTCATTTTAACTGGGGTGAGATGATATCTCATTACAGTTTGATTTGTATTTCTCTAATCATTAGTGATATTGAATATTTTTGCATATACCTCTTTGTCATTTATATGTCTTCTTTTAAGAAATGTCTGTTCAGCTCGTTTGTCCATTTTTTTGTTAGGTTATTTGATGTTTTTCCTATTGAGTTGTTTGAGCTTCTTATGCATTCTTCTTATTAGTCCCTTCTCAGATGTGTAGTTTGCAAATCTTTTCTCCCATTCTGTGGGTTGTCTCCTTAGTTTGTTGCTTGTTTCCTTTGCTGTACAAAGCATTTTAGTTTGATGTGATCCCATTTGTCCATTTTTGCTTTGGTTTCCTGTGCTTTGTGATATTACTCAAGAAATTGTTCCCAGACTATTCTTGTCCTAAAGTGACTTCTTAATGTTTTCTTCTAATAGTTTCATGAGTTTACATCTTAGATTTGAGAATTTAATTCATTTGATTTTGTTTTTGCATATGTTGAGACATAGGGGTCTAGTCTCATTCTTCTGTAAATGGATATCCATTTTTCCCAACACCATTTATTGAAGAAGGCGTCCTTCTGGCAGGTTATGTTCTTAGCATATTTGACAAAAATGAGTTCACTGTAAGTGAATGAATTTATTTATGGGCTATCTATTCTGTTCCTTTGGTCTATATGTTTTTATGCCAATGCAAGGCTATTTTGGTTACTATAGCTTTGTAGCATAATTTCAAGTCAGGTAATTCTTCACTCTGTTCTTTATAGAAATCTGATTAGGTATACACTAGACCTTCTTATTTTGACTTCCATGTCTCTTAACTCCTCTTTAATATTTATCACCTCTCTCTATCTTTATGATGCATTTTTTGCAGATTCTGCCTTGTCTGAATCTGAGCCCTTCCCCTGCAAGGCCAAATTCCATCCAGACAAAAGCTAGGTTCAGCATTCTGCTTATCTCTTTGGATCTCTAGTATGTATTATTTTATTTTTAGGTCAATGGTACAGTCTAAAAGATTTTTTAGAAATAATTTATCCTGGCTTTTCTTTTTTTAGTTGTTTGCAGCAGAGAGTCAAACAACTTGTCTATTTTGTCATATTTTCTGGTCACAACAAAATTTTTATTATTTCCCCTTAACAACCACAATTCCCTATGCTTTCTCATTGATAGAATCAATGAGTTGCAGCACTTTTTATAATGAACAGATGGAGTCTGAAGCCAAGAAGTCATTGCTTTGGCCCCTAAAGATGTTCTTAAATTTAGACTCTAGTAATGCAACAGTCTAGAAAACTGAGTTTTGTTAAAAGAAAAAAAAGAGTTCTTCAAAATAGCAGAAGCTGTGTGATTGGCAGCCTAAGCCAGTAGCTGGATGAATTAATATATTTGAAACTCAGGGTATGAAGGCCAACATGGAGCTGAGAGTGAAGGGGTGGCATGGAGAGACAAGGAGGCCCAGCATGAGCCAAGAAAAAAGACTGTGAATTGCACCAGTTTTTCTGCAGAGGTTCAGGGAGGATGAGGCTAAAACCAGAGAGCAGGCAGAATAATTTATACCTCAACTAATGGTAAGCAGGTGCCAGCAGGTTGCCTAGTAGCCAAAGAGGTCAAGAGGCATGGCCTCAGAGGCCTCTGAGAATCCAGGACATCACAAGTACCTACATATGGACACCATGGATGTCTTTCCCAATGATACATGATTTATTGAGCTTTCATCTGAACTCAGAGACCATCTTCAGGGGGAGACATGTATCTTTGAAAGAAAACAATGGTCCTGTTAAGAAGTCTGAACCTTCAGTTTGATTGAATAAATAATCAAAAGGACAAAGCTAAAAAAAAATGAACAAAAAAGTGCTGTTTTAAATAAGCAGAAACTGGGACACTTCTAGTCGGAATATCAGGCTTCCCACCCACCTAATGGATGGGTGGTGAACAGAGATGCCTCACAAGAAAATAGTCTCTTATGTAGGGAAAGAGAAAAAATTATAATTATTACAAATTTTATAGACATTGTACATCTCTTTAGATAGATAGATAGATGATTTTTGAGATGGAGTTTCACTCTTGTTACCCTGGCTGAAGTGTAATGGCACATCTCAGCTCACTGGAACCTCTGCCTCCTGTGTTCAAACGATTCTCCTGCCTCCAGCCTCCCAAGTAGCTGGGATTACAGGCATGCGCTGCCATGCCTGTCTAATTTTGTATTTTTAGTAGAGATGGGGTTTCAACATGTTGATCAGGCTACTCTTGAACTCCTGACCTAAGGTGATCTACCCATTTCAACCTCCCAAAGTGCTGGAATTACAGGCATGAGCCACTGCACCTGGCCAATATTGTGAATGTATGTGTATATTTAACTTGGCATGAAAGTACAAATAATTCAGCCAGGCCCAGTGGCTCATGCCTGTAATCCCAGCACTTTAGTAGGCCGAGGTGTTTGTGTAATGAGGTCACGAGTTCAAAACCAGCCTGACCAACATGGTGAAACCCTGTCTTTACTAAAAATACAAAAATTAGCCAGACATGGTGGCATGTACCTGTAATCCCAGCTACTCAGGATGCTGGAGGAAGGAGAATCGTTTAAACATAGGAGACAGGGGTTGCAGCTGAGCTTGTGCCATTGCACTTCAGCCAGGGTAATAAGAGTGAAACTCCATCTCAAAAAAAAAAAAATGACATTTTTGTTGATGATCTTTGATTTGACA